CCCCGGCCCAAAGACGCCGAATCCCCGCCCGCCTGTGTCCTGTGCAACCAGACAGGACACCCGGCGAACTACAAGGGTTGCCCACGCGCACCTCAACCTCGCCCCAGTAGGAAAGCTCCACCGCCGGTGAATGACCGCTCATTCCCGGCCCTCCAACAACGGCCCCGTCAGGGCCCCTCTCAGCCTATCCAGGGCTTCTCTCGACCCTCTCAGGGTCCCCCTAGGCCCCCTCAGGGTCCCCCTAGGCCCCCTCAGGGTCCCCCTAGGCCCCCTCAGGGCATAATTCGGCCCCCCTCCGGGCTTCTCAAAGCCAATGCAGCCTCCAGTCTTTCCCTGGGGGCCCAAAAAGGCAGACCCTCCGCGGACAACCTCGTACGCACACGAGGCAGAGCCCACAACAGACGACTACAACACGCTATACTCCGCGATTAGGAATATAGATGTTAGAGAGATTACAGTTATAGCACGCAAACTGCGCGCGGCGAAGTCCCCTCAAGAGCGTCTCCTCGCTCTTGCCGAACATAACGATCTTCTGCTAGCGTTGTAAGTTAAGTTAACGTAATTAACTTAACTCCAATGCCTGAGCAAACTAACCTACCAAGATCCCATGGTCGTATCAAACCTAAGGGTTTATCGCTTGTATCATTTAATATTCGCGGCTTGCGAAATAACCTCCCAGAGCTTAAGCTCTTTCTTCGAAATCGTGAAGTCGATTTCCTCCTCCTACAGGAAACTAATCTCAAAGCTAAGGACACTAGAGGCCTTTCTATTAAAAACTTCTCTCTTCTTCGTAATGACAGACCCGACCGCCGAGGCGGCGGAACGGCCATCTATTACAAGAAGACACTTCACTGCTCGCCCATTTCTACTCCGCAGCTTACCAACATGGAAGCCACGGTATGCAGGCTAGCTATGACTGGACATTAGTCCATCCTCATAGCCTCCTGTTACATCCCTTCAGGAACCTATCCCCTCAAAAAAGATTTTGAGGCCATTTTATCCTTGGGCAATTCAGTCATTATGTTTGGAGATTTTAACTCAAAGCATACTGAATGGACATGCCGCACTACGTCCCCTAGTGGCAAGATACTGCTCGATATCACGCAGTCTCTTGATATCACCGTTCATAGTCCTCTCGGTGTTACTCACTTTCCCGATAACACCGATCACTCACCTGATGTGTTAGATTTTGCGTTACTCCAAGGAGTTTCTCTCAACCTCAGAGCAATCGAGACACTAGACGATCTAGGATCAGATCACCGACCGGTCTCCCTCATTCTTGGCCATCAGCCACCTCCCCCAACACACACGAAAACCTTCACTAACTGGAAGGGATTCAAGGAGTCCCTAGCTAAAGCCCTGGACTCACAGGATTCTACCATCTCCATACCGACGGACTTAGACAGTCCCGAAAAAATCGACACCGCGGTCGATTCACTCTCCACCCTTATTAAATCCTCCCTTAAGGAGAACGAAAGGGTCGTCCCGGTTGCTAACAATAGTGGGCTTCCCCTACATATTAGCAACCTAATAAAAGCCAAAAAAGCTGCTTTCCGGAGAGCAGCAAAATATCCCACCCCCGAATATAGGCGCGCGGCCAATCGTCTTCAACGAAAACTCCGCTTCCGCCTCTCTGAATTTCAAGATCTCGAAAAGAGTAAGCTCATGGAGAATATCTCTCCATCTCACACAGCGTACTACCAGATGGCTAGAGCCCTCCGCATAGACGCTATCACCCACACTCCCCCTCTCTCCCGTCCCGACGGCACGGTTGCCTTCGAGGACGAGGAAAAGGCTGAGTGCTTTGCGGATAGCATTGCCGCTCAATGCTCCCCTAGTTCTCAACCTGTCGACCCCTCACACGTCCAGGCAGTGGAGGATGAGGTCCGCCGCCGGAACTCACCCCCTACGGCCTCCGAACCTATCTCTGTGTCCAATGATGAGATTTCATCTCTCATCAAAGGACTTAAGCCCAAAAAGGCTCCGGGCGCGGATGGCATCTCCAACCAAGCCCTTAAACACTTTCCCGAGCAGGTGTTAACCTTTTTATCTATTATCTTCAACGCCTGCTTCAACCTTAGTTATTTTCCCACTACGTGGAAAGAGGCAACTGTGATTGGAATTCCCAAGCCAGGCAAGCCTCTCAACCTCCCCCTCCAGCCATCGCCCCATTAGCCTCCTCAAGGCAATGGGCAAGCTCTTCGAAAGAGTCATTCAAACGCGTATGAGGCGCTTTCTGTTTCCCACAGACGGCGACCCTCTCATCATCCCCCACCAATTCGGCTTCCGAGCCAAACACTCATGTCCCCAACAAGTTCACCGCATTGTGGAATATATCCTCAGCGGTTTCTACCCTCGACGTCATAAAACCATCGCGGTCTTCTTCGATATAGCCAAAGCTTTCGATAGAGTCTGGCACACAGGCCTCATCTACAAGCTCTATAAAATAGGTCTCCCCGATCGTCTAGTTCGTCTCGTGGCCTCCTATTTAAAACATCGTACCTTTCGTTTTAGACACGAAGGCACGCTTTCTTCACAGCGAACTATCAAGGCTGGTGTCCCTCAGGGCTCAGTACTTGCTCCTCTGCTGTACATCCTGTTCACCAACGACATTCCCATCCCGTCGAAAGGTGTTCAACTCTCCCTCTTTGCAGACGACACTGCCATCTACTGCAAAGGTGTCTCACTACCCTTCATACGGAACAAGATCCAAAAGTCAGTTGATGACCTAGGAGCTTGGTTCAAAAAATGGCGCATCGATGTGAACCCGGAGAAGAGCTCCGCCGTTCACTTCGATTATAAACGACGCCGTCTCAAAAACACTCCTCCAATACGTATGCTAGGGACCCCTGTCCCCTGGCATACGTCCGCCAAATATTTAGGTGTCACTCTAGACACAGGGCTTACTTTCAAGCCCCACGTCAAAAGAGTAACCCGTCACGCACGATTTTATCTGAGTAGGCTCAACAGTATGTTGGGCCGACACAGTAAAATGTCCCTTCGAAACAAGCGTACCCTTTACAAGGTCTGTATACGACCCGTCATGTCCTACGCGGGCCCAGTTTTTGCCCACGCAAACCCAAATATTTTAAATGAACTCCAAATAGTTCAGAACCTCTTCTGTCGTCGAGCTGCGAACGCACCTTGGTACGTCCGTAATGCCGACCTTCATCGGGACTTAGAGCTCCCAACAATTCAACAATTTTTTAAAAAAACTCTCTGAGAACTTCTTCAAAGCCTCAGAGTCGCACCCAAACCATTTAATTCGTGAGGCAGCTTCTTATGCAGCCCCACCCCCTTCTCGCTATCGTGTCCGCAGGCCGAGAAACTCTCTCTCGGACCCGCCTAATAAACTTTCAAACGACCTGAACTGTCTCCTGGCAGCTCAGGCCAACTCTAATTAAATAAAATTATTGTAATAACTAACATTAATTTGCCTTCGTAGGCACTCCCTCAGCGGCACTTAGCCGCCTGCGCCCTCTTTTCCCAAAAGAGGGTCGCTCATGATAAGGCACAATAGAGCTTAATCAGCCGGTTGCCTGTCCCCAAAGGCGGTTTTTAGAGGGTATCACTTAGGGTCCCCGGTAGGACAGTGAGTCCCCCATAACCACGATAGACCGGCTATCGTGGTATGCGTAATGCATTTTCCGCCTCCCTACGTACAGGGTAGCCCTTTAATTGCTTCGGGCGCAAAAAAAAAAAAAAGCGATACGAGTCAGTATTGAATTGGCGATTCAAGCGAATACTTCGAAGCGATACAACTGCGAACTAAAGTGATCAGTAGTACAGTTGTGTTTTGTTATTAGTGTAGTTTTAAGTTGTAATTAAATTGTCAATTTGGTAATTCACTCGGTAGTTTTTGTTGTCTCGAATTCCAAGCTCGTAATACTACTATAGCTTTACTTTTTCCTTTGTGGGGTAGTCAGAGAGGATCAATCGCTGAAAAACCAATCCTGACATACCACGTTTTTACTAGAGACTATGAGGATAGTTTAAGGCAGTGGTTTACGAAAAGGTTCGTTACGGTCATGTATATCTTAGAGTTCCGTAAAACCTGCCAACATTGGCCACATTTTGCACTTAATCAACTTTAAATCCAAAAAACTGTTAGTAAAGTATTAGTTTTTCATATTTGTTTAACACCAGAAACCACAACTGTTGATGTTAAATCACGGAAATTGCGAAAATTAGGACAGTTTCGTACCTAAAAATTTATTTTTTTTAGTCGGCCAAAATTACATCAGCTTTCTGTTAACATTAGCCACTGCTTATAACTCTTGAATTATAGTCTCAATGCCGTTTACTTTAAGAACTATGATAGGAAACTGGCCAAAGAAGACGTATAAAAGGCAATAATAACAAAAAGTTAAATATTTTGGCTTAAAGCGAGGTGGCCAAAGATACCCGAAACTTTTTTTAAATTTCCATACAAAACAGTTTTAGACTCAGGGTTGTCAATTTTTTTAATTATTATATATTGGTTGGGTGTTTTACAAAAAAAAAAACATGTTTTTAATCAATCGCATTTCATTATACGAGATTTATTTGGTACAATATTAGCATATAAAATATGGCACTTTTACTAAGCAAGTAGACAACAACATAGACTATCAAATTATATCAAGTATTAAATGGTTATGAGTAAGTACTTAAATTACTATCACGTATTTGTGAGATCAAAATTCTTAAAAAAAGATTCTTTTTTCAATTTAGTAATTTCAAAACTACTTAATCATCACGTTGAGGTGAAAAAGAAAATTCAAATTTATAAATAAAAATATATACAATAGGTACCAAGCTTAAAGTGTTTATTTAGAACCTAGGTACCTACTGAAAAAAAAAAAATAATAAATGAAAAACATACTTTAGCAACTTTAGGAAATGAGCGTGTAAATGACACATTCCAGTAAATACCAAAGAAATACAGCAATATACTTTTTGTGATAACACAAGACATAATATCAAATAGTTTACTACGTTTTCCTTTTTGACAGTTTTTCTCAAACGACGTTTTTTCTTCCTTTTTTACTGCTAGTCTTCTCTTTGCTATGCTTTAAGTAGTCTAGCAATTCATTGTCAATCTCATATGATGCCACATCTTCTTGATACTCTGGTACACGCTTCATTACTTCTCTTGGGTTGAATGGGTAGATCCCCGTTGCTCTGAATCCGCTTTTGATATTTTTAGATGAATATATTTCAACTTGATCAACTAAAGAATGTAAAAGTTTTGGAAAATTATTCTTATTCAGAGTAGTTTGGTTGGGATTTTCCATTTTGTACTTGAGTAATATTGCTCGCTACACTTTTTTGTGTCAAAGTGGTGCAAAAAAAGCGACGTCAAGGGGTTGTGTTATGTGTGTCGAGCTAGATGGAATGAAAACAAACTGAATATTGTGACACTCACATAATTCGATAACACTCACATTTAAGTGGCTTGATAAATTATCGCATATAATGACCTTTTTACCAGGTGACTCAATCCATAATAGTTGTGTTAAAGTGGGCATCCGAATTCCCCAGCAGCAATTAAAACTTTAATAAATTTGGCTTCTTCATCAGATAATCGCGTTGGACATCCGACAGACTTTGTATGAGACTTGTTTATATTATTTAATATTGTCTGTTTAGGAATCGCGAATTGTCGCGCCGCCTCTCTTGCTGATATCTGTTTTTTTCTAACAAGATCTACAGCTATTTCAAGCATTTCATTTGAATAATTTTTATATTGCCGGGCACCAAGGCGCCTGCGACTTTATCTTGCTTTTTTTTAGCTTAGAGCTTGCTTTTTTTGCTTTGCTTGGCTTAGATGTATCCATTCTGTAAATATACGAGGGTGGATTGAAAAGTACTCGGCCTAACCAAGAAAATAAACACATACTAAATCAGTTATATTTTTATTTTTCTACATAATCACCATCAGGTTAAATAAACTTTTGCCACCTCCCCTTCCAAGCATTTAGACCGTTGAAAAAAATGATTCTTCCTTAGAGTCAAAATATGCGTCTACAGCTGCTTTGACCTCGTCGTTTGTCGAAAATCTTTGACCTCCCAAGTGCTTTTTTAGGTTAGGGAACAGAAAGAAGTCTGATGGTGCCAGATCAGGTGAATACGGCGGATGCGGTAACAGTTCAAAGCCACAGTTGTGAATTTCAGCCATTGACTGTACTGACGTGTGAACACGGGCGTTATCTTGATGAAACATGACTTTTCTTCTGAGCATTCCTCGACGTTTTTCTTTTATTTCCTCTCGTAAATGACGTAGTAAGGTGCAGTAGTAATCAGAGTTTATAGTCTGACCCCTTTCAAGATAATCAATCATAATCACACCTTTCGAGTCCCAGAATACTGAAGCCATCACCTTATTTGCCGACAAAATCGACTTAGCCTATTTAGGGGTGGTGAACCAGGTCTTCTCCACTGTTTTGATTGTTGTTTTGTTTCCGGTGTACAGTAATGAACCCATGTTTCGTCTATAGTAACAAAACGATTCAAAAAATCATCTGCATCGGCTTCAAATAACTCCAAACAGTCGCGTGAAATAGTCAATCGCGTCCTTTTTTGTTCAACTGAAAACAGTCGCGGAACCCACCTCGCAGACACCTTGTGGAAACCCAACTCGTTGACAATGATGTTTTGAGTTCGTTCATAAGAGATGCCTATAATCTCGGCTATCTCTCTAATTTTTAATCTGCGGTCTCCCATTATTAAATCAAGTACTTTTTTAATATTTTCGTCAGTAGTTGACGTCGAAGGCCTTCCAGAGCGGGGTTCATCTTTCACACTCTCTCTGCCACGCTTAAATTCTGCTATCCATTTTTTGACGGATGAATGTGACAGAGCACAATTGCCTAATGTACTGACCATGTCATCATGGATGGCTTTTGATGATAGCCCCTTCTTATGGAGGTACTTAATGACGGCACGCTGCTCGATTTGCTCCATTCGCGGAAATTATGTCCGATTACTTTGTTAATAAATTTATAAAATCACAACTAATTATCGCACACGTTTCGAACTTCACACAATGAACTAGTCTGAACTGAACTAAATAATGTGGGTAGATTTGATTTTTAGAATTGAATGGATCTGTGTTAGGCCGAGTACTTTTCAATCCACCCTCGTATATGGACATAAATAACAAGCAAATATACATATTTTAAACTGTATTCTAGGTATTATACCAAAACTAATTGTAAAACTAAGTTATAAGCAAAAAAGTACCATCAACTCATGAGTAGGTAGGTACCGAATTCTAAAATTATCAGTGGGCAGCCCTAGTATTATTTTTCTGTGGCCAAAGTTAACGGCACATGTTTGCTACAAGTGATTGTAACATTGGCCATTTGAACTACTGATTAATAGAGGACTCATATTGATTTTAGATGTACACCATATTAAAACCAAGATTTCACTTAATAACATATCAAAAATTCCACTCACTTGGATCATTTTTCAAGCGCGAAAAAGCTTTATACTCGAGGAACAATTTGGGACCACCGGCAGAGACTCCTATTTGACAACTGTTGACAGCCAATTGAGTGAACTTAGTAACCGAACGTATGATTGGTATTGCCAGAAATATATTCTATTTTCCACAATATGTTGTAAAATGTTGCTATATGAGATATATTTTTTACTACAGCAAATTTTTGTTATTTTTGTCAAGTGGCCAATGTTAGAATTAAAGGCCAAAGTTGGCGGGTTTTACGGTTCCACTGCAGGGAACTAATAAATGGATGGCGATCTATGACTTGGTATGTGAATGATCTGATGTACTTAGATTGTAATATTTTCAAAATCGAAATGTTTTTTTTGAATACCATTCCCTATATGTCTTTTTTATAGGATACGGTGACAAACGAGCACACAGTCCACCTGATGGTAAGTGGTTGCTGTGGCCCATAGAGATTTACGTCTATCCTCGATTACGAATCAAAATGCACGTGCGTTGTCACCCGTGAGGACTAAGATGGAATACCTCGTTTCCAGTAAAAAAGGGTTTCCGGTTCTCTACACTCACCATACGAAACACAGCAGCATTAAGCTACTATTTGACGCTGGTATTCTGTGAGAGCGTGGTCCTTCCCCGGTTGAGCCGACCCATTCGTGCTACAACTATATTACTAATAACTGCAGCATGGCTCTACCACGTATATAAAAATAATCTGCTTGTATAAGTCATTTAGTTACCATCGTCCTTATGTCGTTGCAGCGGTCAAAACGCGAACTCACTACATCGTTATAGTCGTCCTTACAGCCATTCACAAGTCCACTGCTGAACATAGGCCTCTCCCACGATATGCCACAAAGCACGGTCCTGAGCCACCTGCATCCATCGACTTCCTGCATGTCTTACCAGGTCGTTACTGCATCTAGTGAGAGAACGCCCTACACTTTGACAACCGGTGCGAGGCTGTCACTCGAGAACCTTTCTTCTACATCATTATATGGCCGGCCCATTGCCACTTCAGCTTACTAATAATCCGTTGGGCTTTGTCGGTTACTCCGGTTCTACTGCGGATATCCTCATTTTCGAGTCTATCATGCAGAGAAACTACGATCATAATCCTCTTCATAGATTGCTGAGCGACCTTGAGCTTCCTCGTACGACCAGCAGAGAAGGTTCACGTCTCAGATCCATTTTCATCACTGGCAACACGCACTGGTAGTACAATCTTGTTTTGAAGTTGTAAGGTATGCCTGACGAGATGTGTCGTAATCTGTCACGAACCCACTTTCTATGCTCGTTTTATAAGAAGACCCCTTCTAAATTCACGTATTGTGACGGGCAACTACGGAACCCTAACTAGATTGTGCGTGTCCCGACACGCACTTCGGTATTTTTTTATATGGTAGAGGGTATTATGGTCACCGTTTAATATCGTCACTTTCTTAAAACTCAAAAACTACAGCCTTGTTTGCATAGATGGCTGTGTGATACGATAGCTCTTAAACAGTCAATAAAATAATAAACGGTTAAATGGCGCTGTTTTATCTTTTATTTTATTATACGTGTGAAAATAAAGCACGCAGTCCACTTGATGGTAAGAATATATGTACATCTACGTTAGAACTATTGCATCTCATGGACATCTACGTTCATCCTCTATTAAGAACTTCTTATTAGTTTGTGATTAAAAATCAACAAAGCAAGCAAAGATGCGTCGTCAAAATGGAATGCCTCGTATCCAGTAAAAAGGGCCTCCGGTTCTCTACACTCACCATACGAAACACAGCAGCATTAAGCTGTTATTTTTACGCTGGTGTTCTATGAGAAATTGTATTTATATCACGTTTTTGGTCTTCAGTTTCAAGTGAGAAATAATTTATAAAGTACTGGCGACAAAATAAAACAATAAACTCGTTTTAAAATAATTTAATAATTTCTGAGTAATTTTCAAGTGCTTTGGTAATTTTCAAATGCCTAGAAGAACTAAATCTATTACATATATAAATATTATATTCTCTTGATCTGTATACAATCAATTCACTAGAATTCAAATTCTTTAAATCTAATAAACAGATCATGAGTCATACAAACAGTCGTGCAAACATCGAATTTCCAGTATTTTAAGAAAACGATTAAAAATGACACGAAAAATACGACGCTGAGCTGTCACTTTTTCCCGCCATTTTTTGACATGTGACATTTACATAGACACCATTTTAAGTTTTTATTGTAATTAATAACACAATTGGTCGGAAAAAGAACCGTCATGACGGAAAAGTAAGCTTACGTTAAAATTTAAAAGAAATCTTTTAATTCAATGGTACGAATACAATTCAGAAAGCATATATAAATTATATATGCTTTCTGAATTGTATTCGTACCAACACGTAGTTATCAAATCCTTCAATGTATACTACTAGACGAGCACTACGGTACTATTACACGGTACATTGCGCGTTAAGTAACGGCCAATTCGTTCCTCCTTTAGTCGACCATAGATAATATACTGTATAAGGCATAGATGAGCCACTCTAATTATTAGGTGACGAAACGAGGGAAGTTTCTTCTGCGTTGTCTTATGATGGCGTTGGGATTATAAATTACTGAAAAATACACTAGAGGGCGCTTTCAACTTGGTTCAATATTATTTTGTACGTTTTAATAAAATTATAAGGAAATGTTTTTAAATCAGGAACTAACTAATTTATATTTGCATTATATAATTTTTCATATAGCTTTTAATAATAACCATGGGTTGAATTGCAACGTTTGTTCTATTAGAATTATTCTGTATGTATACCGCAGTATTTCAAAACTTCGATA